TACTCGCGCCTTTGACCAACAATCAATATCATTTTATCTTTAATTTCCCGCGAGCTATCACTTATGCCACCAAAAGCATGGTAATAAATTTTATCAATTATTTGAATTTTAAAATACTTTCTAATTTATTTTAATAATTATTTTTAATATATAATTTTTTTCTTATGTATTTTGGTTACGTTTCAATATTAATTTTCAAATAAATTGTTTAAATATCACAAAATAATTTTCATAAGAAATGAAGTTAAACAGGACAATATAAATAAACTATTTTATAATTTATAATAAAACACGAATAAAATACAAGAATAATTAATGAGATAGATTACAACTAATATTGGCGATATTTCTATTTCAAAATGTGTTTTAAGCGAATATACCACAAAGCAATTATCACAATAATTATAACTTAAATAAAATAAAAATGTAAAACTAATAAAATAACGAGAAATAATCAACAAATTAGACAAAATAGTAAAAAGCGATTGTTTGGAGCAATTATTTTTTCAAGCATATTATTTAGTACGATTTACTTCATTTTGCATGAATAGGGGAAAAAGGGGGAAAAGAGAGAATAACACACAAGCATACACACATAAAGCGATAGCAGTTTGAAATATCGACTAAATGGCGAGTGCTCGTTGCATGTACGTTTATGCATGTACAGTTAATTGTCGGAGTCGCCTCACACGTTATCCCGCCGATGCATGCATACTAATTAATTCTAGTTCCAGCTACCTAAGTGACGACCTAATTTCGCACAATTGCGCGAATGCAGGAGAGTCTGGAGTAAACTGCGTTCCGGAGAGTTTGGTGCGATTCTTGCGCCGGGAATTGGGATTTAGCGGATGTATCTAACGTGATTAGCCGATCGACGCGTTTCACGCTCGCATCGGACAGACTTTGATCCGATAATCCGCTTATTTTGCAAAAGGCCGGCAATTTAGTAGCGCGCGAAATGTGCAGGGAAACATGTGCACGCCGGAAAATGATGCATCACCCGGGCCGCTAAAATTTGTCATGAACACCCGGTGTCCTTTAATATGTGAAAATTGAAATCAGAAAAAGGATTTCCTCCAAGTTACAACAACGAGCAACTCTATCTATAAATCTATTGATCCTCTATAAAAGAGAAAGGTTCCTTGTACAAATTATGACAACAAATCTATGAAAAAATACTGCAAACTAAGTTAAGATTCAACTCTTTTGTACAGAAAATTAAATCGCTATCACGAACAAAGAAAAGATATTACATTCGTATATTTTCATATATTACTACACAAACTAAAGTTGTTTTTTTTTTTATAAACGTAACATACAGACCAGTTCGATATAGTTTCTTCAATCTTACTGTAAAATTTAAATTTAAAAATGTATTTCAAGAAATAATTTGTGTATTGTGTGTGTGAAAATTGAGTATTGTTATATTTATAATGACATAAAAAAATTATTATATATTTTAAAATATTAGCAGTGCGTAATTTCCTTCGGATATTTTAATTTCTTTGAGATGATCGTGAACTTGATTATGCAGCCGTTATAAAGGTGCGAAACATTTCAATGGCTTTGAAATTCTAATGAAACTCATGATACGAAGCAGCTTGCATTCAATAGCATTATTTACACCGTGCTGAGGAGAGAAAATGTGCATTATGTAACATAAGAATATTATTAACATCCCAGATCCAATATTTTCTGTGAAAAACATGTATTATCTACCTGCTTTTAACAACTGTTTCTCATTAAACAAATAGAAAAAATATGAATGTTTCATTTTAATTTAAAAATGTGTTTTTTTTCCTACATTTGTACGTTATAATACTGTTCTCCCTTATCAACTTGTCAGCTCGATTTTGCGCAGGAAATATCAAGTGTCGATATCTCCAATTAATTATTTCTAGCATAGTAAAATGGAAGGCCGTCACCGTAAAAATGAGATACCTAAACAGAAACATGGAATCTTGTTATTCCGAAATCCACCGGTGGATGATTCGTGCTGACGTGATACAAACGAAGGATATAATTGGAAACGAGATGAGGATTGTGATATCACGCGATGGATTGTAAGTCTTCGGAGTTGCAAAGTGTCGAGATAATTCTCTTTAAAAGAAATAATTAAAATCGTGACTAGTGCACGCGAATCGTTAGAATCGAAAGCAGTCGCGCGTGTTGGCGTAACAAAGTTTCGTGTCCTGCCACGCCGGTTGCAGGGCAAATGAAATTTTCGCGCAGCTTTCATTACGTGACGAGCTAGGTGCTGGATTAATAGCGTTTCAATTATAGCTTCACTAAGATAAGCGCAGATAAATGCGTCACAATAAATGCAGAACTTGAACAGAAATAGTAATCGCGTCATTTTTACTCAAAAAGTGTTTAAATGTATGTCCATTTATATAGCATACATAATATTGTGTAAATTTTATATACTTTTTCCAAACTCAGTAAACGTACGCCAATTTTTTGTTTAAAACATAGCTCCTAGTTGAAACATCGATAATCGATTTAAATTTTGATGCTAATAAGCATCCTTATTAAATCGCTGGAAAGAATTTATTGCAAAAAATATCACCCCCAGCCAACGTTCGAACATGGATCTTCCTAAATTCCGTGACACAATGTGATAGGGCAATATTTTTTGCAATAAATTCTTTCCAGTGATTTAATAAAAATGTTTATTACCATCAAAATTTAAATCGATTATCAATTTACGTATTTGGTTTCACTATTCCAACAAAGAGCTATGTTTTAAAGCCCGACAAAAAATCGGCGCACAATTTATTGAGCTTGGAAAAAATATATAAAATTCATACAATATTATTATTAAACAGTCCGTAAATGACATTCTTCTCTCTGGTCAAATTAGTTTTACAAATATTAGAAATAAATAATATTTATGTAAGAATAATGAATATATTTCTGATATTAAACTCAGTGTTATTACAGACCTCTAGACTGTAACAGTAGTATTATATGAAAAAAGACTCGAGACTTCCTATATAGAGCTAATACCGGACATGGGAATATTAGAACAATATTTTATCAGAGTGGAGGGTGTAAAGTGCCGCCGTCCCGGTACAGATCATAATATATTATGAATAGCCTGCGCAAAGTATAAAAGCTTTATCAGCCATTCAGCAAAAAAGTCTATCCTGACGGCTGACGGCTCATCCTCCGCAAATGGCGAATTTACTGAAGCGGATGGATGATAAATTCTTGCCTGTGTCGAGACGTCATGATTCTCACAACGCAAGCGTTTCAAACTTTAATGAGGTGACGAAAGAATTTCCTGGATGAAACGGTTCGCTGAACAAAGATGGATTCGTGTCGCGAGAGGAATGTCGAAAGGTGGAGTTAAACTTCGCCGGCATTTCTGACGAAATTCCCATCAAACTTGCAAAACTCGATACTGTTAAAACTTGCAAACACAATAAAAATTTCCGACGAATATTCAATGATACGTTACGATACGATGGTAGTAAAAGTATGCAGAAAAGAGAATGTGCAGAAAACTGAAACGTTCTATGTCACACTTATTTTGTATAATTATTATCAGAACAAGATACTACAATAAACCAATAAATTAATCAACAGCAACAATTTGAATAATAATAAAGCTGGATTTTGAAGAATATTATTAATAAAAATATAACAATTAAAAATTCCGTATAATGGTATAATTATATGATTCCACATGCAATTACATTTACAGTCGTTCGAAACTCAGCTGATTTCCCAATATCTAATTTTGTGCAAAGCTTGTATCATAAATTTTCCCGCCGGGAGAAGAAAAACTTCCTAATACAATATCTTCGTCGTCGGAAATTTCCACTGCGCACATTAAGGGATAGTATATTAGTTTTATCTGCCACAAAACACTACGCAGTATTCTCACAACGGCTGCGTACGTGACAATTGTGCTGCCGTTTCTGCCGGCGAAGGAAACGGATGCGTTCTGAAATATCTTGCAAAGCATTTCATAACGCGATTATGAACCATCCAAGTCTGACAATTTCTAGAAAGCATCAGCCCGGCAGAGCATGCCTTCGTACGCTAGATGGGAGATCCAGCCAACGAGACTTAATGGAAACCTCTACCGACGCATTAATTTATTATCGTGGTTGATCCGGCACCGCACTGTGAAAACGATAAAGGATACGGATTATGATAAAGTTGTTCCGCCGAGTAATAGAGCGACACTTCGTTTGCGGTTCTCTGGTGAGCAGATTGCAAAAGGAATATCATCGGCGTCGGACGTAAAAGGAAGTCTAAAGTTTACCGCAATTCCGCGGCTCGGTGCCGTAAATCCAATGTAACGAAAGAGACGATCACGAAGTTATATATAGCGCGACCCCTTTGAGCCGTTTCGGCAGCGAGGGCGATAAATTCTACATTTTTACTCGATAACGCTTCTTCGAGCTTGAAGCTCGTGCACAAAAAAAAAACTTTCCGCCTATTGCGTATTTTTATCGACATCTTTTTTCAATAGTTTTAACTAGGCGTTACATCATAAGTTCATTTTTTTTTATTAAACTCCGTATTGTCTAATTCACAAACATCTGATCAAAAAGGTCTTGCACAATAAATCAAAAACTTATTAATCTTTAATATTACAGTTCCCATTTTTTGGGGGGTTACAATAATTTGTTGGCCAGAACAAATTTTAGTGCATAATTTTTATTCGCTAGCGTATAATAAAAAATTTTTGTGTTTTTTTTTCAAACACAATTTCTATATACTAGAAATTCTTTCTGTTATGCAAACTTTATGCAAATATATGCAAATATCTCGTTGCATTAACAACATCGTAATAAAATTCAGTTTTATTCGGCGAAGGTGGCATGAAGATTTTAATCTTGGTTCGGCTTTAGTTTAATTATTCGTTCGTTTTTATGTATTTATTTGTAAACTGATGCACCGTATCTCGTGTCATGACTAGCGATAGCTTTTGGAAAGTAAAGTTTCGCGGCTGGTAAAGTGCATGCAAGATGATTTGAGCTTACCTCTTCCCAAACAAGCTGCTTGCTAACTCCCGGTCGAAGGTTCATAATTTTCAACTCCGCAGCTTTTAACACACCATCCTGAGTGAACTCTACGTTTGGCTTTCCATGATCAGTCTCGACGGAAACGTTCTTCAAATATCTGCAGAGAGGAAGAAGTACAATACGTTATAATATATAAAGCAAAGACTGCAGGTATTTCGTAAAAATTATAATTGAAGCTATTATAAGCTTAATATACAATAAACATTATATATTTCATAATCATATGATATTGAAGTATTAATATGTACATATAAAGCAACATTAAAATATTAAATTGTGATATGCGTAATAAGATTATAATATTAAATTACTAAATATTACATTGCATCATGAATTCAAATCGTTTAATAAAATTAACATTTTCATTTTGCAATATTACATAAAATAAATAAAATTCTATATTATTTCCTCAAATATGATTTTCAGACAATTTACAAAATTCTGTTAATTTTTTGCAAAGTTGTTTTGTAAAAATTTGTTGTAATATTATTCGAAGAAAATTTCAATCTTGCTATTTAGAAAATTCCGTGTGACTGGCGCATGAATAAATCTATCCACATTTTAATAAATTATGTGAAATTACTTGAAAAATAGATCCCCCGTGCTCCATCGTGATTCACCGACGCCTTCGCAGCTCAGTTGAGTGTTCAGACTACGATTTGCATTTTTCGGGTCATTGATGAAGTCCTCGACACCGTAAGCATAGACCTTGATTGCTGTCGTAATTTCATTTACCAAGCTCTCACTGCTCGTATCGAAATGCACACCTGTAACAGCGAAAAGATATCGAGCGGATTCGTTAATGCGATTTTATTATCTCAGCGAGATTTATATTGGTTTGCACGATAACCAATTCAGTTATATCAGTATAAAGAAGATTTTTCATTTTTTTTTTCGATTTGCTCTGCCAATGATAAAATCGGATGGGCGAATAACCAAACGAGAAATTGAAAATAATTTATGAGACACGGATTTAAATTCTCAATATCCAACTTACTGTTTAAATTCTTTGATAACTCGTAATCTTGTATAAGCTTGCGATTTACAGAAATTAATTTTTCAAAGTAACTGAACTTCAGTTTGCTCTGATTTTCTTTTTGTTCGTTTATTTCTTAATAAATTCATCATTCTGTTTATATTAAAAGCTGCTTACAAAAATATAATCTTAAACTTTAAACAAATATTCATTTGTGGTTCAGAAAATGAATTTTGTAGACATAATATAACTTAATGAAATAAAAAGATAAAAATGATAGAACAACTTCATCCAGTTTTACGATAAATTTTCTCATAGTTACAACTTGCGCTGTTAATTTTATTTCGCCTAAATTTAAGAATATTTGCTGACTGTCTCTTTTCCATATGAAGAATATATCTCTTTTCGCAAAAAATTTTCACGGAGAAGCTGCACTTTGCAAGATTTTATTCAGCCAGATTTTTATGCGACACACTGCGACAACTACATTTCCATAAATATCAAAAATGTGAGCAAAGACGTGAGAAAAGGAGAGAAAAGTGAAGATAAATCGATGTATCATAAGCCTGAGAAATGTTGGCGATTCATGCAAGAATCGTCGAGCTGCCTTGTTGTTCAGCCAGAAGTTGACCCGTAAAAATCACACGTCAACAAAATTTTCCTGTATTGCACAAATATGTTTTAAGCTGAGATATCCTTTGAAAATTCACTGAGATACTTGTATAGAAAAATGTTCAATTCCACGGGACGGTCTTCAGAAATGTTGCAGAGCTGCAAATAACACATAACATCTTTTTGATGAAATATGTAAAATCCTTACATCTTTTTCGTATTAGCTAAAATAAACGTAGATTTATACGAACGGTTGAATATGTACTCTTGCAGCATCGAGAGAGAGACAGAGAATATTAAATATAAGCAACGTTTGCTTTGCTCGATTCATAGCAATCGTGTTTAAGAGTGCGAGGTGTTTGCGTTTTACGTAGAGCGAGTTTATCGCGCTAGTTTTAGCTCGCGGAAATTCAGACGGCGAGAGATTCAATCCGAGTTATGTTATTCCACGTGGTTCACTGAGAGGAATTCAACGAATTTATTTTTCCCCCAAGGATATTCTTGGGAAATTCTCAAGGAAGAAATCAATTTTCTGTTTCCGCGATTCTGGTCACGATGTGAATAACTTTCCCGCCCGAAAGCCATGCATTCTTACGGATAAGAGGCGTATTCTGATTGTTAACGTATGTGTAACGGGCGTAAATATACTCCGATTCACCGCGATGCCTATAGCGTATTCGAAAGAGATATGATTATATATATATTTCCAACGAATTTTATATAGATTAATTAAACAGAATTGTTTTTATTTTACTATATGCACATATATCTTACTTGTAACTATAAACTATAGTTATTTTAAAATCATCTTCGATACAATAAATAAACGTAATTTTTAAATCTCCGGTAAATATGTTTTAATCTTCTTTAAAAATTTATTATAAAGTGAGAAAAAAAGCTTTTAAAATATAAAACTTAATTTCTTAGATATGGAAATGCCTCAGCAAAATTGAATCAAAACTACATAAAAGATCGTAAATAAAATATACCGCAATTACTTATTTTATTATACATATGTGGATTTTAAAGTGTGAATCATAATTCACGGATAATTTGATTGGCGATTCGTATATATACTATATACGGACTTATCATATTGTAAACTTATGTGAATTTGTGGATCCATATGACCGAAAGTACGTGAATACGGATGATTTTGCTACTCACCTAACATTCCGACCGGGAACTGACTGGGGGTTTGTAAATTCTCAATAACGCTTTGCGTGACTACCCATACGTAATTCTCCCCGGTAATTTTGTACTCCCTAGCAGCGGTCAGGATATGAGTAGCTTCCTCTCTGGTCGAGTACAGTAACATCACTCGAGATTCGCTGTTGACTAACTCGAGCAGATCGTGTGGTTCGGTAACCAGAATGGCGCTCAGTATGGTGAACTTGAATGTGTCCTGCATGTCGGAGATTCTCTCTCTGACCGCCTGTATGAAGTCGTCGTGACCAGCTATTTGCGAGGTGACTACGCTAAACTGATGCCACTTGTACCTCTCCAGGATACTCAGCATCGCCGCGGTCTGATGTTCCAGTGACGGTGCCAGTTGCAGCTGTAGACTGCTTTGCGAGGCCCGCTGCAAACCAACGGAATTCCCATTATATTTCGTGAATGTTGATGAATATTTCCATTCAACTTTAATTTCAGTTTTATGTAATAAAAAAAAATATATTTTTCTATGTCTATTATACGGAGGAAGAAAAGGTAAATGGTATAAACTTGCTTAAATTGCAAACTGCACGTTTCATCTCGTATATTTCAATATAACTTGAGAAATTCTTTTTGACGTTAATGAAAAATTCACCCGCGAGCAAATATTGTTTGCGTGCTCGGTAGAAACATTAACTCGCAAATTCTTTCACTCTCTTTCATTTTAGTTGAATCAACTTACTCTCTCCAGACCAGAATTATCGGCATTCCATGCAATCACAGGGATTCCTAAGTAACCGGCCAATTGAAGAAAATATTGAGCGCTGGCCGTACTACGTCCGTATTGCTCGTAGTTCATAAGGTATAAGATGGCCGATACGTTCAGCGAAAGAAACTCCTTGCATAATGAGTCCAAAATAGCTAAAACACAAATTATGTAACAATTAATCATTCTAATAAATATTCCAATTTTTGACTTACTTAAACAAAATTTTTTAAATCTTTAATTTTATTAATATCCATAGGTTATACCTAACACTGCTTGATGATACACATCAATGACTTTCAATCATTCGAAATTTATAAAACGATATACATTTGATGGAAAACATCATGTAACTGTGTGATTTTATGCAAAAGATAGAAAATAAGTATGTGATGATATTGTTCCTCCCTTGAAGCCTATTAATATTATATAAGAATTTTAGTCACATAAATTATTTACTAATACGTAGAATTGAAAGGGATAGAACTGAATTAATTTTATAACTTGAATAGTATTAAATGTGTGATAAATATTTTTAAATATTTATTATATAAGTATTATTACACTAAAAAATGTGTTAGTTTACAATATAAGTTCAGTTAATGACTCTCTATTTTATAATTAGAGTTAAATATTATTTCTACATAAGGTAGCACAAGCGTTAGTGCAGAATATAAAATTAATTAATAATAGCCCACTTGTTAGCCTAAAATATACATTAATTTGTAAAGATAATTGTAGATGACGATAATGTAAATTTCTATAATTTTTTTCAAAAATTTGATAATTGATACAAGTCTGAAATCTTTATTATTTTTGTTAAAAAAATGAAATTTATAATACATTTGTGTAGCATCTGTTCATTTCAGGTTGAGATTAAAAGGACAGAACCGCGGGATTCATAACGCAAAATAAACGATAGTCATCAGGGTCAGTGGAGCCCACCTCAACAGGGTGGCCCACCGATGGGAATGGCCGGAAATATGGGGCCTATGGGTGGACCAAACGGGCAGATAGGTGGGCCCATGATGGGAGAAACTTTGGACCAACGGCTTAACGTCTCTTTCCGAAAGACGGAGCCCAGTTTGCTCCGCACAAGAGCCTATCTTGCACGGGGAGGGGCGCAGCTTCGGAAAAACATTCCATGTTTACATGGCTCTAGTGGACTCGAACCTGGTTCCTCAGATTACGAGTCTGGCGCTCTACCACTAGACCACACTGCCGCCCTTCATTTCCCCTCTTCTGTTTGTTAGCAAATATTAATCAAGATCTTAATCCAATCGATTGTGAATTAGTATGAGACAGTTTTAATGCAATTCAACACACTTTTCGCCCGATATTGTCTAGCGATAACTTATTGACCGAGGTACGCAAATTTTAGAAAATTTTGATGTGTGTAAAAAAATGTTCTTCGTGTAAATAAATGTTAAAGATTTATATATGAAGTAGGGGTAAAAAAGACTGAAAAATATAATAAAATTAGAAATAGATCGATATCTTCAAATTTGCGGAAGTTAAAGCATAAACATTTCTACAAAAATTCAAAATTTTATTAAAAAAGAACCGTTTTTTTATCGATCATTGTTAAATTCAATCCCAACCTTCCTTACATGATACTCTATCGATTAAAAAAAAAATGCACTCGGATATCTAAAAAATTACGGAAGTTAGAGCATTAACAGAGCAAAAATTTAAAAATTTTTTTAAAAAAGAACCCCTTAATTATTAGCAATTTTTATTGATTCTATTATATTCTTCAGTTTTTTCTACCCCTATTTCATATATAATTCGTTAAGATTTGGTTGATTAGTTCTGGAGTTATAGAACTTTCGGTTTTGGCACATACACACACACACACATTCATACATACAGACATTTTTTTAAATTGCAATTTTTCGACGTTTTAGAACATTCTGAACACATTCAGAAAAACAAAAAAAAATTTTTTTAAACGAAAACAAAGCTTTCTGTATGAAGAAGCAAAACAATCGTTTATATAAGTTTAATATGTTTCTTTCCCAATTTAACTTTACTTCTTAAATTTTACAGAGCGATTGGTTAAGCAGTCCAATCGAGTAAGCATTGGCGAATGATTGGTGTTATACTTCGTAAATTACGATAATCGAGTTAAATCAAGTGGATCTTCGTTTCATCAGAGCGATCAAGCGCATCTATATGTCGAATGCACTATCATTTAGCCGCGGGAATAAAGTAGAACGCGTAGCTTCAACTTTTTGCGACGGCCATCCCAGTTATGCCGCGTTATTCTTTCCTGCTAAATTTATCTCTATGCCTTTATCACACGCACGCCCATTTTTTAAAAATCGAGAAGCAAAACGACGATGGAAATGGCGACCACGAATGTAGTCCGACCTATCTCACGCAGCGACAGGCTTGACCTCGATTTTCATTCTGCTCTATTATTTCGAAATACGGAGTAATTGGAAAGTTTTAGTTTAGCCGATTTTTATTTTGTGCAATATTACCATTTGGTTTGTCCAATTTAAGTAAAAAGCACAGGAGCCATAAAACAGAATTGAGATTCTAAAAGTGTATAGTGCGCTTAGATTAAAGTGAGTGCTTTAAATTGGCTTTAAAAATTCTTATTTATAAGACTTTCTTAACTATCTTACTAGGACACTTTTTTCTTTAATTATTTGTAGAACTAGATGAGTTGTGTTATTGATCTCATAATCAGTAGAACAGAAGTAGATTGGAATTTTGTACTTAATAATCCATACATTATAGATGAACTTGTTTGATATCAGCGGCTCGAAATTCGCTGTAAGTCACATGTGTAACTTGATAATCACATTTAACTTGCAATAGAAAATACTCTCTCCGAACTAGAGAGGTTCGGAAAACACTTTTATGATATAACGTTTCATGAAATACAAGTGTACCGTTGCCCAGTCTAGTAGTACTACTAATACTACTAGTACTAATAGAGAAAATCGATCTCATCGTGAAAGAGTCTCATCCAATGATCTTAATGATACGATCTCTTTCAACAACCAACTTTAATTTTAAAACAGATTAGACTTTATCCTGTTAATATTATAAATATTTCAACAAAAAAATCGACACTTTTTTTCTCTATCTATGTATAATTATATCTATAAAACAATATCTATTAAACATATTTCTTTTGCTAGTTTTTGGGAATATTCTGTTTTTTGAAAGTCTGTATTTGCTTGTGCAATATCTTCTTCTCTGTCTATTTTATTTATAAATTTAGAAGTAATTTAAGAGTTAATAAATATTGTAAGCGTCTTGAAAACAAACTAAATATGAAATATAATTTATGTAATGGGGCATATTTGAACAGACACTACGCTTATATATCTCCACTTTCATTATATGTATATGTATAACGTATCACTGTATTTATTTAGTATAAAATTGTGAAACAACGTGCAGATAATTCAATAAACTATATAATTATTGCAGCATAAAACAATTGGTACAATTAGTTCAATATGCTGAGCGACTACGTTCATCTTTTATTATCTATCTCTCTTGAAATATTCACGAAAAATTTGATTAAAATACCAAGAGAAAATCAATCCGCTCATTGAAAACAATTGAAATATACGAATGGTAATTTCATGCCTTTGATATCAATGCTATGAAAATACGCAGTTAATTAATTTAATAAGTGATATAACTACATTAACACTACTGATGTTATTTTATCATAACACTAATTGTATATATTCACGTATATTGTTACCAACAAGGCCGTAATCATAATTAGCACAATAAAACAATATTTATATAGCATTATTCTGTCTTTATTTAAATAAAATTACGATAAAAATAAAAGTCATAATATACGAAACATGGTTAATGTATGTGACAAACATGGTTATGTTACTTGTGACGAAAGAAAACATAATACATTATAATATTATCTATTCCTACGAGGCCTGTTCAAAAAGTTCCCGGATTTTATCTTTATCATTTCTGGAGGTTTACTTAAAACTTAGTCAGTCCTATCTCCTTTGAAATGTTCTTTTTCGGTTTATACATTATTCTCAACACCGTTAATACATTATGCTCAACATTTCCGAAATCAGTCCTGGTACATGCTTTTCGGGTCCGTCTGCAAATTTTCCTCGATGTCTTTTCGAGAACCAGATCGAGGAAATGTTAGGAGAAGAAGACTTGAACTGTATATAGAAAGACAATTCAAGGTTCCTTCAACAAGTTCAACACGACAACGCGCTAGTGCACGCTACTGATTCATTAGGTCTGTTTTTTTTATTGCTGCACTGCTGAACTAGTGCACACATATACAGAAGTCACTCTGGAATGATCGTATTAAATTAACGGTCCAAGTTTCACTTCTCCTTGTACGTATACATTTACGCTCTGTCCCGAATTAATGAAAACGTAATACCACGAATGTAGTAGCTAAATTTGTATCAAGTAACAACAAGTCGATTAACGTAAATGCCTTTGATCAGGAACTACCTTGACTTCGGGATATACTATAGTCGAGTGCCTCATCGACCATGCGTCCGTAATTTGTTGAGATTGAACGTACACGTTTCGCTAAAGTAAACTTTAGTACAGTAAACCAGTCAAAACACACAATGCTTCTCGAGTGTTACAATTAAAAGAAAATATTATTATAAATTTAACGAAAGGATTGATTTCTTGACAAAATCATTAACGTATTATCTGTTAGTTACAATAAAACTGCATCGTTATTATTGATCCTGTTTATGCATTTAGTAATATTGTTCCGAATTGTTCTACGAATTATAGCCATATTGAAAAACGATAAATGTCCAGAGTGAACGACGAACTCGACGAATTAGAGCCGCTTGTTTTAAACTCTCGTCAAGTGTTATTAAATGAGCAGATTATATTCACGGCTCGTTGGTATTTGGTTTAAATCGATGAATGGGTTATTTACGACTTTGCGTGTTCCACGAAAATTAATAATTCCTAATGGAATGTCAGATTCTCGTTTGTAACAGCCAATGGCATTTAAAATTGGATGCGTGGAATTAGCAATGTGAGCGCTGCTCGCGTCCCATCCGGCAAGTGCCAAATTAATATCCGGTTGTATTTAACTTTGTAATAATCACGTGCTTTTTTTCGAATTATATATTTATTTCCATATAATGCCATACATCGGAATAACCTTGCGATTTAACGTAATCTATTAATCCGTATTGATACCGACGTAAATCCGGTTAACGTAATTGTACGCGTAAATCATCAAGATTAGTCACCCCTAACAGCACTGCATTCGTGACGTTATTCCGATCGTGATATTTGGGAACGACTTAACACGATTTCACCAATCCTGCAGAGCCATTAATATTAACACATCTACATTGGCGAACCAGAAATCGGACGCGTTTGTTTCGACCAACAATTACGATGCCAATAACGACAATCCTGACAAATCGAGGATTCCACATTATTGGCCGCAAAGATATTTCACCAGTAATTACAATATCAGTAATGATTACGCTACCGTAATCGGAGATACTGGCTTGGGAATGTTGCCTTGGCCGCTGCGGCTCAACGTATATATCGATAGTCAGCTTAACCGCATATTAATTAATCAGCCAATTATGAGCGTATGGAACAGGTTTCTGTAGTTTCACAACTAATGTTTATAAAAATTATTTTATCCTCTACAATAAATATCAATAAAAGCGCGTTTGACAAAAAAATTTAGTTTCTTCTCTATAGTCATAAAAATGTGATTAACATGTCTAACGCACTAACATGTCTAACGCATTAACATGTCTGACTATATATGGCTTTATTCTACTGAGCAATATATTACGTTTATTTATGCACAACTTTTTATTGGCTCAATTAGCTTATCTTGTACGACTTTTATTAGCTCAATTAGCTTATCTTGTACGCGATACATTACAATGGAAATGTAATTCTTTTTAATTTGCAGCGGATTTGTGTCTGAAGTAATCGCGGAAGAAAAGGCGTAATCGTGAGGATGCCAAGAAACAACTACAGAAAACGTAAAAATAGTTTCCCAGTTGGCACTGTCGACATCATACACTCATATTAAAGTATATCTAGTGAAATTTAATTAAACGAGATTGCTTTACCTTTCTCAAAGTATATATACTTGAAAATATATCAAAAATATTGTAAGAGCATCACATTTTTCTAACGTATTTAATTAATATTTTTTAAATTAATCTTTTTAAGCCAAAATAAAAAAACATAATTTTACATATAACACAAATTACTTATTTACTTGCAAAAATTACTTGTTCTGCGCGATTCTTTCAAGAATTAACAATATTTATATTATATCCCTTTATTCTCATTATATCGTAATAATGATATAAAAAAGTTGTACAAAATGTGCAGATGCAAGTATTTTGTAAGTATGAATTATGTTATAATTAAGTTAAGCTTGTTAACTGTGTAATTAGGTTAACGAAAATATTATATAATATAATATAACGCATGATAGAAGATTGTATATTTGCATGCATTACTGTTTAATTATTCCTTCGCGTTTGACCAAACATTTCTCGTGCAAATTTCAGTACGCAGCAGTTTTACCTTCGGTCGTAAATTTCAAAGTTTTATTTAATTGGAACTCGACGGAGAAGGATTTGACGTTTATGTCATGACGGAATATAAGACTCCAGGCAGTAAAAGTGCGATGTGTTTTTCAAACTTCCTTGCCGTGAAGCATAAATTGAGGTAAGTTTAATTGAATGCACACTGGACATCCCGAGTAAATATCTCACAATTAGTCTAAAAGCTCGCGCAGAGTATAGTGGCGTTTCGGTAAACACAAAACTAATGACAGTTGACATACCTAGCATAATGAAACGAGCTTAATCGATCGCCTGTTAATTCTCTAAACTTGGCACATAAATATTTAATATATTTCTAAAATTAATTAGATTTTTAATTATTCAGTCGTTCACATATTGTTGATTTAATTATATTAGACTTTTTTAATGAAATAAGACAAATTGGAATTGGATTATATACCACATCTTTTCATGGCTATTATAGCAAATTGATTGCACTGATACTTTCACTTTATCCAGTAATAATTATTTTAAGAAATTAAAAAAAAAGTCTAATTACTCTCTTGCAACAATATATTCTCGTGATCTCAAAGAATATTGAGGAAGTTGCCTATTCAACCATTAATAATACGATCGTTTCTTTGTCAAACTGCTTTTCTTCCTACATATCACCTGGAAGAAGGTGGTTTTTAAAGCTCAAAACATCGTCAAGTACCTTAAAGTGGCACGGTTGCGGTCGTTTTGCAAACATCGAGATTGGAATAGCCAGTGAGCTGTTCAAATATTAGACGGAGGAGGGAATTTCAGACGCGAGAATCATATACCGAGTGAAAGCAAACGCGTAAATACACCGACATCGACTCCTCGCCTGTCGTCATGGACGTGTGAGTTAAGCCTGAAATATTGGTTCGCCAGGACATCTTTTGGATGCGAAGAAAACGCAATGCGCCAATGTTAATTCCGACAGGTCGTATATCACTCCTACGACCGAACAACGCGCGGAGAAATATTTTCCATGGTAAAATCCTCCTGACCAACGTCGTCAAACGAGGAAAATTACAAGGAGTCTGCGCGCAGTTATGTTTGCTCGGCAATGTTCACACGACGCGAGTAGACTTCAAACATCATTGAATAAAAAGGAAAAATATCACAACGCACGAGAGCATTAGAGGTAGTTTTACTTCTTGCGGATTACTTATTGTTAATAAAATTGTGTAAAACTATTTACACAACGTTGGTGAAATCTATCTTAGTTAAAAAATATACGTATATAATATAAACGTATATACGTATATAATATAAACACCCCGTTATATCTTTAACGTTATTATCGTACTGTACCACATTGTCAAAGTTAATGAGAAAATATGTAGGTAAGAATCTGAGCTTAACATCGCTATAGCAGTGCCCATTGCATGGCACCTTAGTCCCTTCCGATGGTAGCTGGTTATATCACCTGACATTCATTGTACATATATTCACAGAACAAACCGTTTCTCCTCGATTTCACGTAGTATTTTATTTACCTTTGGAACAGCATCAGACTGCGCCAGATCTGTATTTATCTGATTCAGCGTAAATCTAATCATATCCTCACATCAATTCAGAAAATGTAATGTTAAAAAATATTATGTAAAGTCATATTAAGTTTAAGAAAGGTTGCTGTGTGTGTCATTAAAATATAATTCAATTAATTGCACATAATTATATAATATTATTTTAAATTTGTAAAAATCATGTAATGCTTTTAATCTTGTTATACTTTTGCAAATGAAAAAAAAAAATGGATTGTCAGTTAATTATTTTATGAACAATATTTCTATTAGATATTTGTTCCAAAAGCTGTAGAGTCAAATGTCATAAAATATAGATGTCAATCTCTATGTCCGACAACAAAATGAACGCATTCTCCTCGGGACTCAATCAGCCGTAAAAATATTTACCTGTCGGACTCGGTGTGAGCTTCATCATAGTGCTATTGACCTGGGAGTGGGTAAACTCGTATTTGTCCAGGAAAGAGAACCTGGACTGGCCTTTGGTCTCTTTGGACCTGCTATGTTCTCTGTGCATATTTCCGACGGCCCTGTTGATGGCTCTTGTGTATTCGCGCTGGCCGAAACTCGTGTGCGGCACTATCAGGCCGATGCTAAGCTTTGGCAGCGAGGTATTGCTACTGCCTCTCATTAACTTTGGATGATCAGTCTGACCGATCGATGATTTCAATCCGTCCCTCGATGAAGCGACTAGTGCGCCCACCATCAAGAGAACGTATAAGCCACGCATTTTTTTTTCCTCTTGAGTCGCGAATTCGATTCTTCTAGCTTTAGTTTCTAGCTTTAATTAGATTTCTGCTGGAGTATTTACTGCTTCATTTTAGGATAAATCAGGTACACGGTTACAAATACGGAAGAACAAGTTCACATTAAGTACAAGTAATCTGTCGCGTATTAAGCTTTAGTTTTAATAACGTTTCGGTCACTATGACGTATTTTTTTCGTACTCTCGTCATTGTCATCATTGAAGATTTACACTTAAAGATTTACACTTTAGACATCACACTTAAAAGCTGTAAGACGCCTCACTTTATGCACACTTTTGCTTGCTGAATTTCTTTGTGAATGTAGATTTATATAATAATGTTGTAGTTATTATCCGTAATATATACTGTATATTTTATTTATTTAATATTTAATTAATGCACGAGGCATTATGGCAAACACATATCACATTCCATCACAACAAGATAAGACACTTTAATAACAGCTTTTTTTTACTAGTGTTTTTACGTATTATTTAACATCAAAAACTGTAAATATATTTCTCTCATATATTATAAACACGATAATACTGTATTCCGTGGAAGGAAGATAAAATTTGATTCACTAGCATAAAACAGACAGTGATATAGACACGAAGATTTTGAAAAATTTGTGAAGCATCGAGAAAATGTCCATCGAGAGTTGCCAGTACTTAGGAAGATACTGAAAGATAAAACAAGATTTTACTTTGATACCAGACGGATAATCCGTATAACCGCAAATCAAGTCTCGAATACGTTAAATAAGTAGGTTACGTATGTTCTCACAGATCCTTTACTTTTAAAATGTTTAAATACCTAAGTTCTTTCGTGTTCAAGCTTTGGAGAATTTTATGTGCTTAAGTACTTAAATGCCTCAGTAATTGAATTCACAAATCCTTTAATCCTTATTAGGCATATAAATATTAAAGTTCTCAGTGTTTAATTCCATTATTTAATTCTTTGTCTCCGCTTTCATTCTCAAAAACCGAGCTTTATTTCACTCGTTCTGCGATACACTTAATAACAGATGCAACAGATGAATACGCAAACATTTTGAATTAATATAATATTGATAACAAAAACGCCTTCTTCTGCGGCGTACTGAATATTAAACGTATTCGGATATCAATATACGATGCGCGAACAAAGTTTGAAACTACAATTGCCTCGATCATGTGTCTATCAATGATTCGACAATGTACTCGGGAATTCCTATTCAGTTCTACTGTAATTAGTATTTCTTTGCCAAGCAACAGCAAGATTGGCCGGAAGCAATTACGACGCTTTCAATTAATCGGCTCGATAATTTCGCGAGGATCTAGAGCGTCAGGACCGTGGCTGAACCAATTACTGAGATTTTCATCCGTCCGTCCGAGAGCCACCTTTGCGTGTAATACCACATTAATTGGTAATTATAGCGACATGTCATACACTTACATTTGGTCACGATGCATATTTTCGATCCTTTTACGTAAAAAAAATTCATTCTAGCAATGAAAAATTCAATACTTTATTTTAATAATTAATATAAAGTCTATTCTTGTTAATTGCACTTACTACATTTTAAAAATTTTTTAAGTCTTTGCGTTTCCTGTTAGTTTCTTGCAAAAGTATAAATGTTTACATGTTTTATTTAAAGTGCAGTAAAATGCCAGAAGTACAATTAGAATAAGACACGGACCCGTAATAAATAAATATGTTTTAACACCAAGTTTTTAAAGGGGTTAGATTTTCTCTGTCGTATCGAATACTCATTTATCAGGTTCGCCGACAATATGATATATACGATAGAATGGAAACGTTCGCAAGAAAAAAGAGTTGTAAATCCAAACAACAACGGGCAGTGAAGAATGCGGGTTCATACTATATCACGAGCTCGTTTTCTCTCCCTGCGGTATATCTATCTGTCGTAGGGTGCACAGTATAGAAATCGACGGAAATGTTATTCGATTGACGGAACTTCGATGTGCTCGCTTTTGCAGTCTTTGATTCACGCAAACAACGTGAAATAACGTTTTTCTTCCGCTTTTTTGCTGACTGTTTCGTGAATTTAATGGACATGGAAGGAAAGGGGAAAAACCAGGTCGCGTTTGATCTGATTTATGAAAATTGGGGTTATCCACAGAGTGCAGAAGCGATAAACGGGAAATTTGCATTACAGCACATCTATTCTCATTTCATGATGACGTCGCGAACAAAATATCGAGTTTAACAAATCCATTATCTCGCGACAGTAAGCGTTTTTTTCATGTAAAACGCACAAATATCCTTATTTTTGCAATTTTGCTTTTGCAATTAATAACCATCTATGTTTAATGGAACACGATTTGATTATTGCATAATTTTCTTCATTCTCAACAGTATTATATACGCTATTATATACGTATTTTTATGGCCTGTTCAAATTTTAAAAATTATAAAATTTATTTCTATTTTTTAACCGAAAATTATTCTTCTTTAACTTTTAAATAAAATAATTTCAAGAAGCACACGCTGATTAAGCGTAGATATTTAGATATCTACTACAATGTTTAAGCAGAGTAAAAAATAAAATCACAAAGCTTCCTCTATGAGGAAGCAAAAATATATAGAAGAAGACATTAAGAATATTTAAATTAAGAGAAAAGTAAATTAAAAGAAAAAGCATTATGCATGTGCGACATAAAGTTGTTTAAAACTGGATACAATTTTGACTTTTTGTCGTAATAAATCAGTTACAAGGTCTAACTGTAAATGAAAAGTGATGACACGCAAGTACATCTAATCCTAATCTCACGGACGCTTGAAAGTGATCTATAACGAGCGAGCCGCGAGAAGCTAAGCTAATTTTATAAAGACGTCAACAAGATCGCGCGATAAATAAGTCCGTGCTCATTCCGCAACAGGAAATCGTCATTAACGGGAAAAGACACCCGCAGGATTCTGTGGTTTCCGAGCATGTTTCTCGGCAAACTCGGAAGTTATGCCGTCACTCGCGGAATCACCGATAGAAACCGATGCCGAAGTTTAGGAAGATAGCCGTGTCGGCTCTACTTGAGCCCTGGATTTCGGAAAGTACTTCGGAAGGATCGCAGTCACGTGTTGTACAGTATCCCGCAACCGATGACCGCCTTCAGCAAAGTTCGAGTCTTGAATAATATTGCAAAAGTTTAGTCGTGAAATGTGTCGAGCTATAACAAGGATCTGGATCTATCTCGCTACATTCGTGGCATTCGAGAAATTGTATAGTTACCAAAGATAATTAATGCGCATTTAACAAATGGTATTTTTGAAGAAAGTTAATTCATCAAATTAATCTTATTATGTACACAAAATTATACAAACTAATTTACATGTATACAAATTAAAATAAAATCTTGTACACAAAGATACTTTAAATAAAAAAGGATAACTTTTAATATATTTTTATAAGTTAATATCTATTAATATCTAAGATCTAAGATATTGAAGTTAATTATAAGAAAAATTAATATAACATAAACATTTTTCCTGACTATATATATGTATATGTATATATATATTTCTAATGTTAAATATTTTTATGAACCATTCAATTAAAACAATAGTTTCTTGAAAAGACATTAATATACTTTGTCTTAAATGACACATATCTATTTCGTGAATAGGTATGCACAATTTCCGACAGATTCAAGGTGTCTCGATGATGCCAAAGTTGTTACGAGATGTATCGGATTAAAGCTATTTATGCGAACGGGAAATCAGTGATAACAAGATTCACGGAAATATCCGGGTATCGGTATCTGACAAGATCCCAGCAACGTCAAACCTATTCAAGCCATTTTGCATTTCAACGTACTGTCAGAATTATTGATAGAAACGGGACTTTAAGCTCGGAAGTAGAGGGATACAGATCGGAGACGAACTCACTATATTAATAGCTCTCGCACAGATATATGTATATACGCATGACAGCACCTCTCTCACATCGTAACGGAATTTTTAATCATGCCATAATTAGAAATCTCAATATATACTATTTATTTATAATGTATTGTAAGATGACTGTAAGGTTAACAATAACGATTTTTAGAGCTCCGGGGAAAAAATAAAAATTAAAACTATAAACGTAGAAATTGTTACTGCGTTATAATATCACATTTAGATTTAGAAAATAATGTTCTGCTTTCATACTTTTGTGTAAAAAACCATATATCCCCTGTAACTAATTACATGTATTTAAGACTGAATTCTTAATTTCAGAATTACATTGTAGTCGCGCTAATGCAATTTTTAAAACAATATTTAGCTTTGTAAGAATAGAAGGTAAGAAAAGTAAGTCCCGTTTCCCTTCCCTTTCGATTCGTACCGAGCGAAATGGGGGAAAAAAAGAAATCGAACCACGAGATTGCAGGGAATTGAAACGGCAGATATGGTTCACAGGGTATTATTGAGGAATCTTAAAGTTAGATAGAACACCCGGCAAAAATTACAGTAATATACTTTTATTATGATTCATATCACAATGTGAACATTTGGAAAGAATTTCGTTTAATAAAGAAAAGTTGAACAATTTGCTAAAAACATTTCATTTGTTCTCTTTTAATGTCTGTTTTACATTATATAAACTTATAAACCAAACGGATAAATTTAAAATTAATTTTCAGAAATAAAAGTATATGATTAAACAAAATGTTGTGATAACATTAGCAATAACATTAATATATTATTTATAATAATATATTAAACACTAAGAATTCTAATAAGCATTTTTTAAATATTATTAAGATTTAGAATTTTTTAAATAATTAGTTAATTTTGAAGAGTGATAAAGTACGTAAACGAAATAAGCTACAATATTTTATATATAAGAATAAATTATTCTTTCTATTATTTTTATTTCTTATATCAATTCACGTCTTTAACAATTAGTAGCTCCGATCTATAATATCACGAGTCATTTTTTATGTTCAATCTCGGCTCTTTAAACTTAAATAATCTCTATCGTTATTTTAACGTTCTCATTTTTTATTTTATTCTATCAATATTCAATATAGCGGTCTCTTCATTTTTCTCAATTTTCGATGCCATTCATTTACCGCAGTCGAGCCTTGCATTGTTCATAAACTGTGAAAGAAGCCTCCTTCTTTAATTGGAAGTTTGCGTCAGACATGTTATAAAGTTTAGAAAACAATCAACAATAAATAAAAAGCATCAATTAATCATACTGTAATCAAGCTTTAATGTGCTTAGTTTCTCAAATAAAAATATACAATAATGCTTTATTATAATACAATAATCATATTAAATTTAACTAATAACAAAAATTGTATATAAATATTTCATTATTTTTGTAATATTAAATTTTAATTCTAATTATTAATCACTATGACCAATTCCTTAAGAACACGCTTTAGTTTATAAAGTAAATTATACGAAAATGATCATATAAGAAGTCGACGACATATATTACATTTTATAATAATTAGAATGTCAATCATGTAAGTTTGATGATTGCTCAGTTTTCACATTAAATTTCCGATATCGTTCAAGTTATTAAATTACTCTCGTTATGCTTCTCAAATATTGGTGTAAATTTCAATTTTACCTCTAGCATGGTCTTTTCTACTCCTTGAAATACAAAGGACATTATTTTTCCATCCATTATTTTAACGTTATCTTATATTCAATGTATTTTAAATTATAAAAACAAATTATGTGTTT